AAGATTTACTTAACAGACAGTTTTGAAAGCTTGTTTCGATGATGTTTGAAAATGTAGACAATGTGTTTGAAAATGCATGAAAATGAGATTATCTAAACGCGTATTAAGACCATGACAGTATTCAAATAGCTCAAGCAGTAATTCATCAGCTAATACTTCTAAATTCATCTCTTCTTATTCACTGACGTATACTGGAACGACGGCAATGCAATAACACGACAGACTACTTGGTGGAGAGAAAAAAACGACAGAGAACACTTGTTTTTTTTTGTAATTGCATCTATATACTGCACATGTTTTGATGAAAATAAATACATACTATCTCTTGCCTATTCAAATAAACTTCTATTGGAACTCATTTGATAGAAGACGCTAAACGACGTTTTGTATCCAAGTTAAGAATCAAATTTCAGATTTCTACACACAGTTGTAGGAGTAAAAATTACATCGATATGAAATGAAAGACGAGACTCATTTCAATTCTCCGTGTGTCAACATTTTCCTGCTGAATTGCTTGCTTATTGGTAACGAAAATCTACTTGACTTGATTTAGAAAAAAAATTCCGCAGAATTACAGTAAACCCAGGGATGCGTATTTAATGCGGACTATCAACGCCAAATGTCACGTTTAATGCAAAATCAATCTTTTCAATTCAATATGTTTATTCATCGATGATAAAACAAAAATTAACAACAACAATATAAATGCTGATACTTTCTTTACTCAAACAGTAAATACTTTCAATGCAAAAGTGGTATACATAAATAGGGAAAACATCAACTAAAGATCTGATACAAAAAAAAGAAAATGAACAATCATTTGAATTAGAAATTTTGTCTTAGTTTCAGCTCAAGCCTAGTTATTTGGATTTTATTTCTTCTTCAGTACTGTAGTATTTCATCGATACATCTCTGTGTCACAATATGAAAAGTGAGAATTGCATTTTTCATGCAAAAAAATGTAAACGGAAGTTTTCACCTACTTTTGCAGCATGAAATTATCGAAAGTGGGGGAGTTTTACGAAGATTTTACGAACACTAATAGGCTTGAGAAATAAAAATAGTTAATCTTCATTTTGATGTGAGACGTTGTTATTATAATTTTGATATGTCTTACTGAAATTTGCTTACAAACAAGAAGAAAATTTAACCGTATAAACCTATGAATTTCTTCAATTCATGACACATCCAACAAGCATTCGTATTTTCATTCAAACAATAGTGCATGTACCGACTTAATCACATAAGTAAAGTTTTTTCGATGGTGTATTTGCAAGTGAATTGAAAATATTCTGTGATACCATACGTACTAACCAACGAAAAAGTTTCCGCTACCAAATCGATAGGTTACTGTTTATAAATAAGAATAACTCCAAGAAACTGAACGTGTGAGTGTAGATACCAGTCTTCTCTTCACTCGCAACCACATCCACATTTCAATTCCTCTCCATTGTCATACTTCTTCTAATTAACAAGGACGATTCGCTCTTCTCCCGAAAGAAAAAACATTCTTTCTCTATGACATCCATAACTCGAGTTATAAATGAAATATTAAACATATTTTCTCCGGCAGAATTCCGATGTGCAGCTTTATGCTACATTTTTTTCTTATTAACAAAAAAACAAAATAATTATAGAGGCATGTATAATCATAATAACTTAAAAGAAATGATGTGGAGAAAAAATGAAATGTTTTTAAAGACTTATATTCTTCAAAGATAATTAAAAACTTTGTTGTTCTTCAAAAGCTTTCTAGCAATTTTCTAATATATAAGACATGTCTTTTAATTTAACTAAAAGAATAATTACAATCGTTTATATGATAGAGTGATGCTCTAAAATAGAGTCTCACTTGTCATGTCCTTCATCCAATGAAAAGTATATTCAATTGGTATTCAAATTTTTTGTTTTAAAGCAATGAAATTAGATTAGTAATCCTAACAGACAAATTAAAATGATCTACTAAGTCATTATATCGATATGAATCTACATACTATTGAATATATTAAACGACCACAGGTAATTAACTCTGCATCGTTATAGTCAAATCAGTGAAGATTTATTTGAGAAATAATCTAACTAGCAGTTCATTTATAGTAGCATTATAGAACAACAAAACATATACAATTACCCAAAGATAAAAATAAGGTAGGCAACTTGGAAATATTCTGCGAATTTAAACTTATCTTAGTATATAACAAAGAAGACAATGTCCTATGCTTTATTTTCATTCCACTATGATCAATGAAAATAAGTTAAACATAAAAAAATTCCATGATTCTCATAGGTGCATTGACTGTTAATGCTATCCGATCAATAATCAATTTAATTCTATTTTTGTAAACTTTAAAAATCTGATGAACTAGAATAATTGAATTTTCGTCAGATTTCAGTCCATAAGATCTAATATACTAATCAATAATTCTCAAGTCAATCTTCTCTTCTAGATCAAAATTTTCTTTTTAATACATTATTCCGTAGAACAAACTGTTCTTAACACAAGGACTACTTCTTATTGTACTTTTCCTTTCGAGTGTAAGTTTAAAAGTCATCTTCTTTTTTTGTTAACCTGCACCGGAAATTTTCCACAAGAAGGCGACACGAGAATTTTTTTCTCAGATGATGTTTAGTCAATTCTATTTTTGATGATGTTAAGAGTATTCTATATGAATAAGTTTTTCCTGTTAGAAAATTGCATTGGTCATCTTCTATCTAGACATAAATTAGACATTGACCTCTTCTACAGTCTCAGTTACACATTGAAAGAGGTATAAAACATTGTTTTAACAGAATGGGTTACTGAGGATCTTTTTCTCCGTTCCCAACTCTTACAGTTGAAGCCTAAACCAATTATATCATTAAGACCTAGTCTTGATTTCAAATACAAAAATTTCCTACGGAAAAAAAGAATCTCTTGAAATTCATCGAGTTTGAATCTTTCGCATCAGCCAAAACATCGAAATAGATTTGAAAAGAGCGTTCAAAACTAAGTAAAGCTGACATGAAAAATTGTTACCAGGTCAATAAATCTCAATAGTGGATACGTGTTTTTTCAAACAGCATAAAACTAATTCCTGTCAATTTCTTAAATTTTTTATGTAAGTTGTGTTCAATTTTCAATGCTCTTTTCGAATCTATTCTTAGATTGTGACTAATTCAAATGGCAAGTCTAAAATAGAGTTGGCATTGGCAGAGATTGGTTGAAAAAAGAATTTAAAATTCGAAATTTCAATCAATTTCCTCACGTTTACTTTATGTACCATGAATTCCGTGTACACTTTCGAATACAGCAAAAAAAACTGACCTTTGATGATAGAGAAAATTCACAAACAATTGCATTCGTCATTAGGAAAAAATGTTATCTTTAATACCATGCTCTAAGTATTTATTGTTGATATATGATCATAGATCGTATTTCAATAATGTCTCGTTCCAACATGTAAACAATTTTTCTATTCCATTTTTCGAGCATTAAGACAAAGAATTCTTCCGTAGTTAAAAACATCAATTACATTGTGTTTCACATTTTTATCTCTCAGAAACAGTGCTAACAACATTTTTACTCATATATTAGGTTCTATGAACTGTAATCTGACGTAAATAAGATCATTCTAGCTCAGCCAATTTTTTGAGATATAATAAAATTATCTACTAGTCAGATAGTTTTGACAGTCATTGCGAGCATACAGTTGGTTTGACCAAATTTCTAATACATATTATAAAATGTATTTCTTGAAATGCAAAGTGTTTTTTTCTTCTCAAAATAAAATTTACTTGAAAAGTGCATTGACTAATTGGATTTGTTGCTTCGTTAACCCTTTCGTTACCATAGTATAAAAAAAGCTACACCTGTTTTTAATTATTTTTCATAGCATAATTCATAAAAATTAGTATGAAATCTCTTGGAAGGAAATAATAAAGAGTATTCTAGAACCTTTCCGGAGTATCTGTGTTACAAGTATCGTCTTCATATCTGTCCTTTTTCTTCTTCTCTTTCCCTGGATGTTATATCTCTCAAAGAAAGTATATAAGCGAAATTGGTTTCGTATATTCATTTACTTTCTTCGAACAAGTCTTTCGAATGCGTTAATCTGCTACAACGATCTGAATCAACAACACATGGCTTATGTCGAATTCCTCTCTTCTATTTCAATGTCACTGATTGGTGATCAAAGTTCACGGAAAAGAAGAGGTAGACCTATTCACTTTGCTGCCCAAAAGTGTAGAGGAATTCAACCGACGCCTGGGAACAAATATTTATCAACTCCATTACAAGCACATATGCCTGTTGCTGGACCTAAAGGAAGATGCGGATATTGCAGAACGAAAGCTCGTTCAATATTTAGTAACATAAAATGCAGTTTTTGTGGTATTTCTTTTTGTGTAAAACAACATAAAAATTGCTTTTTGTTATTCCATGAAAACATTCTATAAATTTTGCAACTAATAAACTTCAGCAGTTAAAATTTCCATTTAAGTATAACAAGGTTCGATATAACTAACATTCAGTAAATCACATGCGAGAACACATGAGTTACTTTTTACATATGTTCCTATTAGTGGTGAATTGAGGGTTTTGGCAAAGACGGGGTCGATCACTTCTTCATCCGCTTCTCAATTCGTTACTGGTCCCTATCTCTAAAAAAAAGCTAATTTAATATTTTACTCGATTTCAATGCAGAAAAAAAAATTATGTAACGAAAGGGTTAAACATCTTTGCAATGCCTAGTAAACATGACTAAGTGGTTAAAAGAATATTTTGCTTCAGTTGCTTTCATCAATTACACTTGTATGAACTCTAGATTATAAATGAAGGTACGCGTCTATCATCATGGAATATGCTTCAGATGTATTCTTTTGTATGAAAAAAATATTATTATATTCTATTTAAAAAAAATTTATAGCAAGGACAAATAGAAAATTCATTTTTCTTATCAATATCGATTAAAACAGCTGAAGAATAGTATGTTGTATTTCTTTTTTATATTAATCTATAAACAATGAATACGACATCAAACACTGTTAGTAGTACTCTTTTGGCTTTACCTTATCAATTGAACATATGTATTGGCTTATTTATTTGGGTGACAGGTAATATTGGTTGTATTGGAAATGCAATAGTATTTAGTTCTCGAACACTCAGTAAACGAGCTTATGCCGTATATTTATTATGGGAAGCTCTGTCTGATTTTATTTATTTTAATTTTCTATTGTTGACACGAATACTTCAAAAAGGATTTCAAATTCCAATAACTACAAATTATGAAATTATCTGCAAATTGCGACAGTTTGACTCCGTCTGGAATCATGATGTTTCACTGAGTTTGTTTTCATTTGCAACAATTGATCGAATATTATCTGCACAACGTTTGAACAGTAAGTTTAACAAAATGAACATCAACTAATTCGATATTACATCATTTTGCTCTACAACAATTTCTATTAAATTTGAATATTTAGAAAGTTAAAAATTAGAAGATTTTATAAAGCTTTAGCAATAATTCATGAAAAAAATTAATTAAATTGTATGGGCAAAATTAGAGAAAACGAGACATAGACCGCTTTCATTTGACTTTTATTCTCTACAAGAGCTATTTTTTTGAATAAATTCTTTTAGCATATATTGATTTAAAAATATTGACTCTTTCAAATTGGACATTAATTAAGAAGTAATTAGCGAGTACCTTTTCAACCATTTAAAAAAAAAACCTGAAAACTTCAGGATACACTCTACAGCCCGAGCTACATCTATTGTAAAATTTTCATCGAAATTAAATTCAACAAAAAAATCGGTCGTATATAGATCCTATCAAGTACAGAAACGAAATTATGGACTCGTACTCCATCACATCGCTAACGATAGGTTTTTGTTAATAAATCCTCTAAACAGAGCTCCATAGAGCTCTTTTTTTTCAGAATATCTAGAACCACTTAACTTCCGTAAGCCATATAAAATTAGGTCTAGAAAAGGTCATTATTCCAAGATTTACATATTTTAATATTATGAGATGACGCTGCTAACGAACGAAAATAATCCAAACAGAGTTAATTTTCAATGTTTTTCTACTTCGCTAAGCATTAGATAAAATTCAAATAGCAGTTCGAACAGTGAAAATGATTTCCAACAAGAATAGAACAAAATAAAAATTATTATCAGATTTTCAAAGATAGAGATTCCAAAAAATCCAAATCATCGTTTTCCAACATACTAAACAGGTAAATATAGTTTTATTTAGATTACATTGAAATAAATGATTTTCTACAAAATGAAACATTGTCGAGTTCTTGATGACGTATTTTTGGCTGCGATATAATATTTTCATTGAAGATCGAAAGAGTTTTTTTTCGAGAGGAAATTGAGAGAGTTTTCGTAAGATTTATCTATGTCAGCTTTAAGACATTTCAAAGACGATTCATTTTGTAGAGAATTGTTTGTTCTAAGCCGTCTAAAAGCACTATGTTTATCTATTCTAGGTCTTGAACCACTTACCTTATGGATTTCTTGAGTTCCTATCTTTTGGAATCTGATAATAGTTTTTATTTTCTTATATTCTTATTGAAAATAATTTTCTCTATTCAAATAACAACTTGAATTCTTTCTAGAGAGCATATGACTGCGGAAAAAAATTGATAGTAAAGTTTGTTGAATAATTTTGTTACACTCTTTACAAACACATGACCTCTCAAAGAAAAGTCAAATTTTAATGAATTTTCGGAATAAATCTAAAATCTATTACTGCGTTTTCTAAGAAATTTTTGTAAGTATTTTTTTTCTTTTAATTTGAGCAAGATAGATTATGCTAACATACGTCATTTGTTACCTTATTTTACAAATATCACTTAAATATAGGATTAATATCCAATATTTGTTTTGATTTTTGTTCTAAATTGGAATGGAAAAATTCGTGTTCGAAAAAATTTAGCGCTTTTCTAAGAGCATGGTTTTTCTATCGGAAAAATTCAAACTACTCCTATTCATTTCAAGAAATAACTAAAATTAAGATAAGAGGAAACAGTGAATGGGTTTCTATCATTGGCCGTGAGGTCAGCATGTCTAGCCACATGCTAATAGAATTTACTCATATTATTAACCAATAGAAGATTAACAAAGGTCGTTCCCTAATTATCGGCACAGTGAGATTTTTCATAGTTGATACCTATGTTAATTATCGAAACTCATCACCTATTCATATTTGGGTTAGTTGAATATTATCAAATATTTGATTTTTTTCTTCTTTCAGTAAATATAGAGAAATTGCTTTTCTCCTCGCTCTCTCATCGTAGAATACGCCCATATGACAACTACCGAGAAATTACAGCGTTGTTTTTTTCGAAACTGATGCGTCTGCGACACCTGTACTAGCCACACAGTCCAAATCGATCCCAATTATGAGTTAAATTTTTATTAGAGAAGTATATTCTGAAGCTGTTTTTTTTTCTTGTTTAATTTTAATTCTTTCTAATAAATAATTTGAATTTAGTAGTAAACATATTCTGTAATTGTTTATAGCTGGAACGGAAAGTCGTAAGAATTACCAACGGAAAATCGTTGCTAGTGTGAACACATGTGCGATCTGAGGAAAGTTACAGAATAGTAGTCTTCGTCCCTTAAGCTTAAGTTGCTAGGCGAGTTTGTAGGAAAACCATTTCTTGTACTAGTTCATAGAAACAAGTATTCTTATTTCATTTTTCATTGCTCTGAATCTAGCTTGGACAATGTTTTATTGTATGAAAGCAGGAAGCCATTACACCTTTGTTTTCTTTTCATTTAAGAATACCGTCAGTGGAGCAATCGCGTAAATGTAGCTTACAAAATGTGTATTACATGTGTACTCTTTTGGTTTTTGTTCTTTTCTCATCGACTTATTTTATATAGTACTCAAAATGGAATATGTGCTCCTCGATCAGGCATTTATGCCACTTTTGATAGTTACGTTGAAGCAATTTTTACAGCAATGGGTACACCAATAGTGATGATTGTACTTGCTTTTTTATTGATACGAAGTGTCCGAAGCGTTATTCAACGACGCATTGCGCCTGATAACAATGGATCACTAGTTATCATTGTACAAGGATCAATTCTTCAACAGATCGATTCCCGACTTACATTGATGCTCATATTACAATTAACTATTGCTATAATGACACGCATCCCATATGCAGTTCAAGTTATCTATACAAATATAACTCAAAATTGGTCAAAGTCAGCTTTACAAATTGCTATAGAAAATGCCATAGTGGAATTCATTCATTTATTGTCATACACATTTTTTACTTCTAGTTTCTACGTATCGTTTATTTCAAATAGTGCTTTTCGTCGACAATTTAAAAAATTCTTTCGAAAATCACAGCATGATGATCTTAGAATTCCTACAAATTATACTCGCCATATTAATAAAATTAATAACATACAACTGACATAAAAACATCGTTCATGTCGAACATTGATTTTTTAAATTGAAGAAAATTTAATTCGTTGTAAGTGCGGACAGATTTTGTGAAATAAAGCGATTTTAGAATGCAAAACTTACTATAGTATCCAATGCTGGATATTTCGGTCAATTTTTTATTTCAATAATATATGTTTTAGATGAATTTTGATTTCCATTCCTCCCATGCCGTTCATATCGCTTGAAAACCGACGGTTAGCCACAGTTCTCCAACTAATGATTTTTTATGTATCACAATAGGTGAATATTTTTTAAGTCTTTCAGAATTGGTTGAATTCGGTCGAAATTGCGGTTCCTTTTACTTATCAGCACGCTGAAGCCACCATTACCAGCCACCTCCTGATCTATACTAGTGCGCGGAGGTGACCGCATCATAATGATATCAGCTGTTAAACTCTGTTGCAACGAACTGTTTCAAAAGAATGCACATCAAGCACTAAAAGGATAAGAGAAGAGATTTAATCATTGAACGACTCATTCTTTCTGGGATGAAAGTTATAATTGAAATGTAGATCAATGCTGATCACAAGTCATCCTAATAACAAATCAGTGTAACTTAAAACTGTATGAATTTGATTGTGATGACAATAGTATTCCCATTCACTTTGGACTTGAATTTGCGCAAATTTAACGAGAAAGCGCGTGCATTTAACAAATGACATTGTTTTTCCTATATCTTAAGCGAACTTCCACGTATTTGGATATTATTTTCGACAAAATGTAGCCTATGCTTTATAGTTTATTTCCGTCAAGTATCAGCCCTTTCTTTCATGAACTTGCTGTACTAAATGAAAAGAATAAAAAGGATATCCTTTAGTTAATTCAAAATTGATCATACACTACATACAAAAATCTACGTATATTACACAATAAAAGTCGTGCATTTTACGATTTGAAAGAGAGATATAAATGATTACGATATTCTTATGGTGAAAGTCAGAAAAATTTCGTCGAAACGCTGTACAAAACGTTTTTATTTTGCTCGAGATAAAAAAATACAAGGTTTTTTCCGCCGAGAATAAAATTCTTCATAACCACGAAATAATTACAACAAAACAATTACTAGGCTCATCCTTTCAATTAATTGATTTATGATCAAATTAATCGAAAGAATCGATTCAGTAATTATTTTTTTTGTGATTACTTCTGTTTAAATTATTGCTTAAAATCGTATGGTTATATTCGATTAAAAATCAATTATTTCATGATTATTGTGGAAATGTGTTGTATCTGAATTTATTGTGTAATACACATCGAATTTTGTAGGAATTGTAGGATCAATTTTGAGCGCTACTTTTCACGCAGCTATGTCTTTCCTAATTAAATATTATTTCGTGATAGTTTCAATATTATGTTGCTTTTCTAGCATAGAAATTTTTTTAGTTATCGTTAGACGTGGTTATTGGGCAGTCTGCTGCCTTGGCCTAGTTTTAGGCACAGTGCACGTCTCTGTTCTGAACCCACTAACGGATCCTATATGATACGATCGAATGCGAGTCGGATTGATTGACCTGGGTATCCACTTAGTTTATGCGTTTGGGTTTTTATTAAAGATGGCGCTACCTAGAAAAATCGACGATATGGGTGGCCATGTGCGCCACAGGCACATGATTCTCTATACAGTTGCACGTTGTTATGATTCATTAGTTCTGATATACGTCTGACGTATGACTTGGCCAGTGCGCATGAACAATACGCAATGATGTTTTTATCTCAGCATTAATTAGATCCTAAACTCAGTCATGTGGCTGTGACAAAAGCACTACTATTGTGTCATGATTATGGTGAAATATAAATTTTAATAATAGTAGCAGTCCAAAGACTTGACCGATTAAATTCGATTTAGTCGACAACATACAACAATTCTAATACACAATAAACAAATTGTTTGGCCCACTGAACGACAGGCGTTTGTCATAACACACTAAACATACAATACAAAACTAATTGAAATTCTCAGATAGGTATAGTAATGGATCGTTAATGCAATTATAATCATATAATAAAACAATATTAGATTTTCTTTTGTCTTCTTGTTCAAAAATCTTTTCAAACAAAAGGAATAAGTCAAACCATAATAAAAAATTGAAATGATGAAAAGACAAAAGAGCTTTTGCACCATTTTAATTTTTCACGAAAAACAAAATTGTGTTTTCAGAGGTTTCCTCTTGATTATTTATTGTGCATCCTGAGATTATTTTATATCTTGTTTTAGGATAAAAATAACAGACTATCTGTACCAGACGCCACAACTGAAAATGGTTCAGTGACAAGATCACCAAATGTTGTTACCACTAATATGTATTTGACACCGGCTTGAGGAAAAGTTGTTCATAGGAATTGAGTATTGTCAGCACCATCAGGATGTGGGTGTGGGTGTGGGTGTGGATGTGGGTGTGGGTGTCGGTGTGGGTGTGGTGCAGCGACTGGGGTTCGGTTTGGATTCGATCACTAAACCCACACCTGCACCCATCCACACCCACACCCATACCCACACATGATAAGGGTTTTTATTGAGACTATTTCCGATGAAAATCCATAGGAATCGGATAAGACGGATCTCGAAAAGTATTTTTGTTTCTGGTGTTTTCAATTCATCTCGAAATCGAGAATCGTATCTGTAGTCAACGTGGAAGAATTCTTCAGAACAGACAGAAATTTCAGACTCATTCGAAAAGAAATTGTTGATCGTAAAATTTGAAATGTATTTTTAGAACATCATCAGCATCCATGGAGTCATGTTTCACATTTCAATTTTACAGGGATTAAGCGGAAAGCTTTGTTTGGGGAATCATATTTGAAAATAGAACGACCTTGAAAGGATAGAATAACATGCAGTGGTTATTATGTGCGTTTTTCTCTGACTATTTAGCAGATAGTCCCGATCTTATCATGGATGGATGCATGACAGAATGAGGCATATAAAAGGAGGAGAACGAATAGAGAGAGAAACAAATGAAAACGATGTGGTCAATAAGCTTCTTATTATCGATGATACTTAGGTAAGTAGGATCTCCCCAATGTTCATAGAATTATATAATCTGGTGGCTGTTTTTTAGTCTTTCAGGTATGTTTTCTTTTCTCTATGCTTTCATCTGCTGCCCGTTGTCTCTTAATTTATTAGATCAAGTTGGAGCTTCCACGATAACAAGTAAGTAATGAAAATGAAGTTTTTTTGATGTGTTGTCTCTTCATCGTCTAGCTCGTCTTTCACTGCCAATGCTCGACGATGGCATTTGTGCGAGTGCCACATGGAACCGGAATGGTATCACTGTAGCTGGAGGAAATGGAAAGGGTCCCGCATTGAACCAACTCAATTACCCCTATGGATTATTTGTGGATGACGATGCTGCAGTTTATGTTGTGGATAGCTTGAACTACCGTATAGTTAAGTGGATGCCTGGAGTATCCAGTGATCGTGTGGTGGCCGGTGGCAACGGGGAAGGCAATCGGAATAACCAGCTAAGTTATGCGACAAAAGTTGTCGTTGACAGGACTGGAACTATGTTTATTTGTGATTCTGATAACAAACGAGTTCAGCGATGGCTGAAAAATGACAACCATGGGCAAACAATTATTGCGAATATCTCATGTATAGGACTGGCGATGGACAACAAAGGATCGTTGTATGTCTCTGACAATGAGAAGTATTGTGTAACAACCGGTGAGCAGGTAGTCGCTGGTGGAAATGGACAAGGATCTGCGTTTAATCAATTCTGGAATCCTGACCATATATTTGTTGATAATGATCAGTCAGTTTTCGTGGTCGATTTTTCAAATGATCGTGTGATGAAATGGTCAATCGGCTCCAAAGAAGGTATTGTCGTAGCTGGTGGGAATGGATGGGGAAATGGCACCAATCAGTTGTCTGCGATAAAATATTCAAGAATAATGTTACTTGCTAAATTAGTATTACGTCAATTTAATGAATAAAGTGAAATACGTAGTCACTGAATCATCCATCCCACTTCAGTGGTTGTTGACCACATGGGTACCGTCTATGTCGCTGATCGAAACAACCATCGAGTCATGCGTTGGCTCAAAGATTCCAAATCTGGCAGCGTCATCATTGGTGGACAAGGATGGGGCAATAGAACAACTCAATTACGCACACCACGTGATTTGGCATTTGACCGTCAAGGAAATTTGTATGTAGCCGATGCAGAAAATTATCGAATTCAAATGTTCACTATTGACAAAAGTTCTTGTGCCAAAGGTACGTGTCAAAAAGATGCTATCAATTGACTGATCGTTGTTTATCTCTATCTTCTTCAAATAGTATCGGCTTAGAGTGAAGCTCATCTTTGCTAAATACAATTAAACGACGAAGAAAGGAGTGAGTTTACCATCGTCTCCATGTCACTTTTTGACTTTCTGGAGATTTTAATAAACTTCGTTGATGATGCTTCATTTCATTATTCATCATTGTTTTGTTCTGTTTCTTCCTATTGCATTCTGTATGAATCAGTTAAACAAATAACTAAATCACCTGAAAAATCACATTTGTCGTTTGTTTATTCAGCAAAGAGTGCAGCATATTCTTCGAAGTTTCATGTCGGAGTACCTGCATGCCTTGAGCAATATGCACTTTCGATGAGAATCCTTTTTCTATAGTGGGCATGTGACGCTACGAGCATCATTATGACTTATGTGCCTTTGGTATATACGAAGGCAAGTGAATGTGGGATGATACACTATGACGTGTGAATGCAGAAGAACCTGGAATTATCCGATCGTACATGGATATAAGATACAAGCATATGTATTTCATTCGCAGTCTGGTACTTCTCTCGGAACACTGACAATCAAGGCACACAGAAGGGCAATGTCGTTCTCTATTCTCTGGCTTTATACAAACTCATCCGATTCGGCTAATAGCCTTCTTGCTAAACTGGGCCATGTACAAACATTCATGCAACCAGTCGACTGTGTTTCATAGATTTAATTTCGTGATGATCAGTAAATCTTTGTCATCGTTTCGGGCTCGCTTGCCGAACAAGTCGTTTCACAAGTGTTCAACTGTTCGAACGTTGTCCAAATCTTTGTCTTCTGCGCATCGATCGCATCCCATGCTGACTGGGAGGTAGACTACTGCGTTAGACTACTGCGTTAGACTACTGCGTTAAACTGATGATGTTCCACCATGAAGACGATTTGTTGCAATAACCGCACCACCAACCTCATTCGATCGCGAAAATGGAGATACTGATTGGTAAGCATACGATCCGAAAATGATTTGGTCTTTCGTCAACATGTGCCGAACGCCAATAAGCTCGTTTAAATAAAAAGTTTCAATCGAGCGAAATACCATATTCGCCTAAACAATTATATCACCAGGCCAAAATTGTATCCGAAGTTCGAAAGGAAATTGGGCTTTGATTAGAGAGAAATTGAGAAAGTCTCAGTTGCTGTTTTGTGAATCACCTTCCGTCACTATATAGTCACATTCGGTTTAATTTTGAAGACAAAACTGCGTGGGTATTTGTCACTGTCAATGAAACAGTCTTGCTTTTTCCAAACAAAGCCTCTGCTCTTTCTGTTAATAGAAAATCCTTTCGATGAACGAGCGTTTTGCAATAATAAATATGCCAGTGAGAAAACTCCTACTTTCATAAGAACTTCCAAAGTTTGAACTAAACCTTCTCTAGTCTCAATAGAGCCAAACCTCATCTCAAAAGCTTTGTTTTGTCACTTGGAACCATTTCCTCGCCATCAGCTCTAAAGTGTCCACATAATGCTATTGTTTAAACGCTGACAGTTTCCTTCATTTTGTAAAACCGATAGAAGTTTGAAAAGTAATTTAATCTTGTAAAATTGTTCCAGGTCTGATTTGTCAAAATGAGATATTATGTTATTTAAACATGAAACGAGAGTGAAATAAAATGGTAATTCTGCGTTTAAACACTGTTGTCCTCACTCTTGACACCACAACTGTGCGTTATAAGTGCGCAATATCTTAGAAAGTAAAAAAAAGCTTTCAGCGCAATCCCTGCAGGATTAAAATGTGAAACACGATGGAGCCATTTTAATCGTAAACGAGAGCCGTCACGACGCCTATCATAGTCCGTGGTGGAATCCAAAAGCCAGCACGTTGACATGTCTGTCACGGCCTGTGACACTGGAGAATTTCTTTCGCCTGTTTGTCATGGTTCCCCACGCTGCAGAATTTTTTTCCACATGTCTATCACGGTATGTGACACTACAGGGATTTTTTCGAACTGTCTGTCACGGCCTGTGATGCTGGAGAATTTGTTTCCACATGTCTGTCATGCTCTGTGAAGGAGGCAGGGGGAGTGGGGTATCATTTTTCTCGCTGTATGCTTCAAAACTCTTTAACAGTCGTGTTTCACAAAGCGTGTTTAAGCGTTAAAAAAAACACTTGTTTCAGCAGAAACATTCTGTTTTTACAACGTGAGATATACGACTCAAATCCGTTAAAATCCCAGACAGGATAGTAAACGCATTTAAACGGCATTTTTGGCGTTTGTGGAGTGCCTCGGTATCAATGAATCAATGCATGAGTGCGTCAATCCATATGATTATCATTCAATCGAACCATTTGGTATCGTCTCCACGATATTACCATCAATTCTCTTGGCTATTACACGGACAATGTTGGCTATTATTATTACCTAGGGTGTACCAAAAGTTCGCATCACGGCGTTCAAAGGACCTTGTCGGATGAGATGACCTATTCAGAAATAAGAAACAAATATATTATGTTGTAGAGTTTTTGAGGCGCATCGAGTGGTATATAGTAAATCCTGTTTTCATAGAATTTTGAAGGACTTAGAGTTAATTTACTGACAGACAACTACACATTCGTACCCATCCATATGCGCACCCATACCCAAAGACGATGAGTTAATGATTATTGTGGTTCTTGTTATTAATTGAAAGCATTTGTAAAATATTGTTTCTCGCATGCGATTTTGTAGAGTTTTTGACGGGCTACAACCTCATATACGTACCATCTCCGGTCATCTTGTGAATGTGAATGTGAGTATGGATGGGTGTGAATGTGTAGCCGTGTATCAGTAAATTGACATTAGGTTCTTCAAAGTTCTATGAAAACAGGATTTACTATATACCATCCGATGCGCCTCGAAAAGCTCTACAAGATGATATATTTGTTTCTTATTTCTGAATAGGTCGCCTCATCCGACAAGGTCCTTTAAACACAGTGATACGAACTTTTGGTACGCCCTAAGTATTATCATACAGGAACTGGAATATACGAAGGACGTTCAAAACGTTTCCGGACTGGTTTATTATAAAACAATAAGAAGCATTATTGTTCATAGTTTTTATTCTATGTGTCGTTGGAACAGTGCTGCATCTATTGATATGATAATCATTAACCAATGAAATACCTATGCCCGAATATAACGATTTTTGTTAGTGCACCCTTTTTACACTGATGGAAAATTGAAAGCTTGAGCATCGCTCGGTAATAAAGTTTCTTGTTTTGGAAGGACAATCTCCAACCAATATTTATGAACGTATGATGGCAGTTTATGGTGATAATGCTCCATCACGTACAACAGTTTTTTATTGGGTTCGTCGTTTTAAAGACAGACAGTTAAGTATTGAAAATGATCCTAGATGTGGTCGACCAATTACTGCAACAGACGATCAAACTATTGCAGATGTTGAAAGTCTAATAATTGAAGATCGTCGAATTACAATTCAGCAAATAGCAGACATCCTAAGTATTTCAACTGGTACAGTACACGGTATTATACATGATCATTTACATATGACAAAAGTTTCTTCGAGATGGGTACCACATTTACTAACACCTGATCAAAGACACGAACGTGTTCAAGCTTGTCAAGAACTTTTGACTCGCTATTCAACTGCGGGTGATGATTTCCTGTTTCGAATTATAATTGGTGATGAATCGTTTCTTTATTATTATCAACTTGATTCAAAAAAATCATCAAAACAATGGAAACGAGCTGATTCACCACCACCAACAAAAGGCAAGCAAGAGAAGTCGGTGAACAAAGTTTTGTATTCCTCTTTTTGGGACTACAAAGGAATAATTCTCAAAATACCTGTGCCAGCAGGTGTAACAATAACGAAGGAATATTATGCAAATATTTTATCAAATCAACTTGATCCAGAAATTAAAAAACAATGACGAGGTTTAATTTCCGCTGGTGTCATCCTACATCATGATAACGCACCAGCACATACATCATATCTTGTATCCTCTACTATTCACAATTTACGACACGAATTGCTTCGGCATCCACCTTATTCTCCAGATCTAGCACCCAGTGATTATTTTTTGTTTCCTATTTTAAAAGATTATCTCAAAGAAAGACATTACAATGATCGAAGTTCATTAGGATCATCAACATACCAGTGTCTGAACAGTATGTCTAAAGATGACTTTACAGCTGCTATACAAAAACTTCCAGAACGTTGGCAAAAGTGTATTTCTGTAGTGGGACGATACCTCGAGAAAGAGCACATACATTAATAATTGTAACGTTTTTTGTTGTTTTATAATAAACGTAATCCGAGAACTTTTTGAACGTGCTACCTACAAGCTTCATTCTCGTACCATCAATTAGAGCATAAAAGTTTACGTCTATGTTTATTGTTTGGCTATCATCTAAGAAAGTTTTGTGAGAACTTCAGCAGATAGAGACCAGAGCTCCACAGAATGCGGGACCAATCCTGTCACGTCTCGTTCTGCGACAGGACGGGATGCAGGAGGGGCGGGAATGCAGAATGATCCCATCCTATGCCGCCCATGGGCGTGATAGAAATAATAATCATTAACTTACTCTTCGAAGTTGAGTGTGAGTGTGAGTGAGTCTATATTTCATACACACCCACACACCTGCACCAGCCGATCAACATGATATACAAACCTATTATCATTGTATTGAAATTATTTGTCCAAATTTGAAAGTCTTTATTTTAGAAGCAAAACTGATCATTGAATATTAACTAATATTTTAAATTGATATTTTTCACTTTATTTGATGTTCTAATTGTAATTATATCTTCACAACTTGTTTAAAATACTGAATAGTCAGAACGAGCATCAATCTCACTATAACTAGCGTAGGAATCTTTTCTTCACTCCCGTTGACACCCAAAAATCTTCGTTTAAAAGATAGGTCTTTCATACAGAATTGTCATCGAGCATATTCGATAAATCAATCAACAGAAAAAGCAACACAGTAGAAATACAAAATGACACATTGTTGACATGATAAGCATGAGATTCGCTAGTGAAATTTCTTCTCGTCAGCAGAGAACTAGTGCCATTTCTCATCGAAAATAGTCAATAGATGCGTAGTTACTGTTGTTGCCCAATCAATGTCGATCATATCTACTCATTAATATCTGTAAATCCGAGAAAGACACTAATGATTTCTCACATTATATAAATCAAAATAGTTTTCGATCGTAACTTTTGTGTCATCAGATGAAAAATTCTGTCTTAATGACTTACAGTATTCTATGTTTGATATGTGTCTTACCAACCGGGTGTAATGCCTTGATTGTTGTACGAGAATTGGTTCTAAACCATGACATTCTACTCAGTATTGACACAGTGATAGGTTGTTTGTAGAGACAGAAGATAAATTTACTATTTTTCATCGAATTTTATTTTCGAAACGAAATAATCTTTAGTGATACAATTGAATAACGTATGATGCAAAAGTTATGGAACAAATGTGGGGCCCTATTTCTCTTCGATATAATGGTGCTTGAAGAAATGTTTTTTTCAAAAGATGGAGCTTTTTCTCCTCTTTCGTATCGCATATAACTTATTTTTATAACACGTTCATAAATGAAACGATGCAACAGAAAAGAGAAGCACCCCTAAAAAAGAATCCGCACTTGTTATATAAAATGATCGCATAAAATGTCGATCCTTATATCTTTTCGATAAATAGGTTCTGAAAAGAATATTTTTTTATTAGTTAATAGAAAATTTTCTCCTCTATCGAACAGTGTATGATTTATATTTGTTGGACATTCGTAAATGAAATACGACAACAAAAAAAAAGAGAAACACTAGCGTAATAAATTCGTAATTTGTATATAAATTCATCAAAAACATCTTGTAAAACGACAATTAATTGTTAGTAACTGTTATTTTACATGATGTTTTTAACGAGTTCATAAAAATCGAAGTAACCACCGTTTTACAAGGTCTTTTTAATGAATCCATAAAAATCGAATTAATTGTTGTGTAACAAGATGTTTTTGACTAATTCATCTAAAAATTACGAAGTTATCAAGCTGGTGTTTCTCTTTTTTTCTTGTCTCATTTCATTTACGAATGTCTGACAAATATAAATCATATACTGTTAGATAGAGGAGAAAATTTCCTACCAACTGATAAAAAAAAAATATTCCTTTCAGGAACTATTTATCGAAAAGATATAGGGATCAACATTTTGTGCCATTTTTCTGAATCTCACAAAAAGCGTGTATTCTTTTTAAGGGTGCTTCTATTTTCTATCATGTCGTTTCACATATGAACGTGCTAGAAAAATAAGTTATATACGATTCAAAAGAGGAGAAAAAGCTCTATCTTCTGGTAAGAATCATTTCTTCTAGCGCCCTTCTATTGAAGAGAAATAGGGCCCGACATGTGTCTCATTACTTTTGGATCATACGTTATGTTTATGACACAGTGAGTATTCATAGATTCGACAGTCGATCGTATGGTTCGATGATTGATCATCGACATAAAACACATTCTCTTTGAGACTGACATACATGACAAAGCAAATTCGGAAAAGGAAGACCGATTCTAATTCAAACGTATGTAACTAGGATGTGAGTGGGTGTGGGGTGAGTGTAGGCGCGGGTGAAGAGAAGTTCCACACCCACACCCTCAATGGAAATCCGGCAATTGCATTCCGGCCAGAAAGAGGCAATGAAGAAAATTCCAGAATTCTCTGGCGAATCGAATGGTATTGGCATAGATGAATGGCCAAGGTGGAACAGCGGATACCGGGACTCCAGGACTCCACAAGACTCCATGGGACTCTAAATGTGTCTGGAGTCCTGGGGTCCCTGCTAACTGATTCATGCGTTTTTTTTCGAATATTATTATTAACGGCCAGTGTTGCCACCTTTTGAAGTCCAAAAAGCAGAAAATAGTTTATA